AGTTGTGGCACATGAGATGTTCAACTTTCACTGTGGCATGTGAATCCTTACTTGCGGCATGTGGGATCTATTTCCCTGATCAGGGACGGAACCTGGGCCCCCGCTTTGGGAGTGCAGAGTCTTAGCCACTGGACAAACAGTGAAGTTCCACTTATACTGTCTTTTTAAAACTGTCTGTTTATCTGTTGTCCAGGGTGACAGTCTTCAGAGGCCTATCTTTGAGTCTTGTATCAGTCAGATTTCACTCTGCTTACTTCTCACTGCGTTTGGTAGTTTTTACAAGGTAAATTCAAACTGACCTGACCTCCATCTGGGAAAATTCTGAGTGCCTGGGTTAAGGGTAAGGTCCTTGATTGTTTTTATGTCCCCACAGTACACTAGATTGTGATGAACTGCGACACTTGAAAAACAGTTTTTCATCTTGGCATAAAGGGAAAAATTCAATAATAACAATCATAGCAAAATAATACTAATAAGCATAAATTCAAATGCCAGATCTATAAGAGGACAGGCTTATGGCATCCTCAAGGGAGGATCTTTATTCCTTCCAGAGTCAAGTATTTCTTATTGTCCCTTTGCTCACAGTGCACACCCCTCCCTCCTCCTGTTCCAAGCTCTCCCCTCCTTCTATAGCTACCTTTCCTCTAAATCTGTAGCACAGATAGGGTCCTGAAAGTGAAAGTGTTCGTCACATAGTTGTGTCCAACTCTCACAACCCCATGGACTGAAGCTGGCCAGGCTCTTCTGTCTGTGGAATTCTCCAGGCGAGAATACTGGAGTGGGTTGCCATTCCCTTCTCCAGAGGATCTTCCAAACCCAGGGATCAAACCCAGGTCTCCTGCATTGCAGGCAGATTTTTTACCATCTGAACCACCAGGGAAGCCCACATATAGTGTCCTAGTTGTATGTAAATCTCTGTTTCAGATTTCCACCTTTCTGGGAGGTCTGCTCATTTGCTGTAAGGTTTAAGTGTTCTTTGTCCTCTGAACCTAAGGGCCCTTCAGAGTTATGTCAATGGCATCAGGAAACACAATCCTGGTGTGTTGGTGGGAGGCGGCAATGTTCTCTACAATGGGTTCCTCTCAGCGACTGGCAGGCTCCTTGATGACAGGAATCTGGGAGGCTTGCTGAACAGGGCACGGTGACTTGAGTACACAAGGACCAATGACCCTTGAGGAGCCAAATCACCAATCACGAAGTAGAGTCAACGGGAAGTGGCCCCACCCCCTGAGACAAAGCAAACCTCTAGAGTTGCTTTAGTTGTTAGAATAAGTGTTTCAAAGAGTGGGTGTAAGTTTGGGGGAAGGCAGGAATTCAAAGTTGCATCAGGGACTTGAAAAAGGTCGTTTGATCAGGCTCTGGAAATAAGAACCGGATGCTCCTGGAAACCCAGGTGCGGAGGAACCATGGACTGGTCTGGTGTCTGCCCTGCTCAGGGTCTCTGCTTCTCTCCTCACTCTGTCAATGGATCCTCTCTGTGTGCCCAGCACTGAGTTACACCCTGGAGACAAGGAGGTGAATCAAAGGCAGCTCCTGTCCTGGAAAAGAGAGCACAGATATCAGCTCTAGGTGGAGGGAAGTCAAGAGAGCTGCTTTGAGGACACAATGCTGGAGGATTCTTTTGTTTCATAATGTTTATTGAGCAGTGATTCTGTTCCAGGCCCTCTTACAGGTGGGGATGTAAGATTCGTGTTCTGATGAACTTCTTGTTCTAAAGGAGTGGGCTGGTCAATACATATGGCAACCAAAGAAATAAGAAAATTTTACATAGAGATGGACTATAAGCAGATAATTAAAACAGAGAACTATAATTTTGTGATAAGACTTTCTCCAGTGATATCACTTAAGCTGAAATCTGAATGACAACAAGTAATTTTGCAAAGATGGAGAGAAGTATTCTTGGCTAGAACACCTAGTACAAATGCCCATGCTCAACTCTGAATTTGAGTTATTTACAAATACTTCTTCTCCTTGTACCTAGGCCTGTGATGCACCCAGGGAGGACAGATAAGGGATGTTCTGAATGAGGAGAAAGGGATGAGGTGACTTCACGTTGTAGGTCTTTAACCTCTTCCCTCCTACCACCAGTAAACTAAATATGGATGAAGGGGTGAACTAGCCAGAACAACTAACACAGTGGTGTGTACCTGTATGTGTGTGTGTGTGTGCCTGCCTGTACGTGTGCGTGTGCATGAGCATGTGTTTGGTAGAATGTGTATGCATGTCTCTCCCAGAAATAACTATTGGGAAAGGACAATCTTCTGTGATTCTGATCCATGATCTGAGAATCTGTGATTCTAGATGATCAGATAGCTGAGCAGTAGAGATGGATGTGTGGGAGGGAGCAGTAGGAGGTGTCTGGGGTGCTGCAGTAGAGAGCTGCCCAGTGCTAAGGTGGAGAACCCACCAGCAGCCCTGGAAAAGTGCCCAGGATATGGCAGTTCTAAAGATGGTTGTTCATTAATCTGGGGTTGAAGGCCAGTCCACAACTGTCTCTGCTCACTAGACTAGTCAGGGCTGACATTGCTGAGGCATCTGCCAAAGGCCCAGGCTGGAGGACCAGCTTCCCAGCCACAGCCTCTGTGCTCTGAGGAGGCCCTAGTAGGTCATTCGTGGAGGAGAGAAGTGGAAGCCTGGGACAAGAGTCTGGCCATTTGACTTGATCCTGGTGAGTTCTAGGCAGGGGCTATGGTGGGGTCATCAGGCTCTCTGAGGGCCTCTGTCTCTCTCTGACCTGGGGCCTTGTGCCCTTCCTGGATCCAGTTGACCATCTGCAAACTAAAGGTGGTCTTTTCAGCCAAATGGAAGGATGGAAATGGGGTGTATATGCTAGCAACATGTTTAGCTCTGGCTTTGGTCTCTAGCATAATCAGGGGGAGATAAAGAAAGGAGAAAGGTGAAGATCTGATCAAGAAAACTCCCTTCCTGGACTTCCCCAGCAGTCCAGGGGTTACCCACCAGTGGTTCCATCTCTGGTCCAGGAGCTAGGATTCCACTTACTGTGTGGTACAGCCAAAAAAAAGAGATCACTTAATCCCTAAATTCAAAATCCTATAAAAGAAAGACATTTCCCTTCCAACTCATTGCTTCTTACTGAGTCCTGGAGGAAAGAAAGGTTTAAGAGAGCTGACAGGCCAGGGGAGGCAAGGACAGATGCAGTAGTCATGAAGAAGCTCCAGGGACACTGGGGTTAGAGGTCAGAGATAAGCAGAGGGGGATGCCCATGGCGGCTGGGCTCTGAAGGCTTCCTGGAAGGGGGCCAGCTCAGGCAAAGACTGGATGGGGATCTGATGGCTGGATGGGGCGCAGAGCCAGAGAGGCATCTGGGAAGCTCGCAGAGAATCCTGCCAGGAGGAGGAACATGAGCTGACCCCACTGGGCCCAGAGTGAACAGAAATTTTAGAAGCCTGGGTTCTGGCTGGACAAATGGCCTCTCCATGGAAAATTCAAACGAAGGGAAGGAGGTAAATCTAAGTCTCAGTTGGCTGGGATCAATGACCAAGAAGCCTCCATTCTCAGGGTCACAATAAGGTTCCATACCTCAGGGCAATCTGGGTCTCTAGTCCCAGCAAGTGCCTGTCACAAAATAGAGACTTTATTAAACAAGATGATTGACAGACTGTTGGGAAACAGCTGTGGTTCTGAGGGTGGTTGGGACACTGGGGTGTAAAATAGATTTTTATGTGAAATGAGACAATGGATGTTGTAGAAACAGGTACCATCAAGCAATGGGCCTTGTGGGACTTTGGATCACCTGCAACAGTTTTGAGTCTAGCTTTCAGGTCCATAGGAGGGGATAGAAAGGGGAAATTTAGGCTATGTAGACCTTCAAGAAAGGGAGTTAAGAGAGCAGCCAAAGCTCATGCAAGCAATGAGCTCTCTTTGCTGGGCCATCACCTGTTCTAAAAGGGACAGGGCTTGTGTGTCCTGTGCAGACCCCATGGGCTCCATGCTTTAGGGGTGCCTAAACTACCAAGCCTTGAACCCACAGGGCAAAAGAGCCCCAGGGAAAATGGGCCCCTATCAGATTACTCTTGCATTTAAATTTGTGTTAGCACTAATCTAACTCTAATACAGTTTACTTATCCTAGTAGTAGTTTTCCTAGTAGCTTAGGAGTAACTCAGAGCCAAGAGTTGTGATATTTCCCTGTGTCAACTGCCCTGAGCACAGGGCCCAGCACATCAGTTGTTGTTCAGTAGCTCAGTCGTGTCCAACTCTTTGTGACCCCATGGACTGCTGCATGCCCGACTTCCTTGTCCTGCACCATTTCCCAGAACTTGCTCACACTCATGTCCACTGGGTGAGTGCCACCATCCAATCATCTCATATTTTGTCACCCTCTTCTCCTCCTGCCTTCACTCTTTCCCAGCACCAGGGTCTTTTCCAATGAGTCGGTTCTTCGCATCAGATGGCCAAAGAATTGGAACTTCAGCATCAGTCCTTCCAATAAATATTCAGGGTTGATTTCATTTAGGATTGACTGGCTTGATCCCCTTGAAGTCCAAGGAACTCTCAAGAGTCTTCTCCAGCACTGCAATTCGAAAGCATCAATTCTTCGGTACTCAACCTTCTTTATGGTCCAACTCTCACATCCATACATGACTACTGGAAAAATCATAGCTTTGACTATATGGACCCTTTTTCAGCAAAATGATATCTCTGCTTTTCAATATACTGTCTAGGTTTGTCATAACTTTTCTTCTAAGGAGCAAGTGTCTTTTAATTTCATGGTTGCAGTCACCGTCCACAGTGATACTGGAGTCCAAGAAAATAAAATCGGTCACTGCTTCTACTTTTTCCCCTTCTGTTTGCCATGAAATAATAGGACCAGATCTTAGTTTTTTGAATGTTGAGTTTTAGGCCAGGTTTTCCCACTCTCCTTTATCACCCTCATCAAGAGGCTTTTTAGTTCCTCTTTGCAGAGGTGGTGGCAAATGTTGGCTAAACAAAATAAGATGAAACTATTTTCCTCAACTCTCTTCATTCTAAGGTAAGGATCATGTTCCTGTTTTCATCACTTCCTGTCCTCCTGTGTGTGGTGACTGCAACCTTCTCAAATGCAAAAGTGGGTGAGGATGCTCAGAAGACCTGTCCAGTGGTAGCCTGTGCCATCCCAGTCACTAACGGCACCCCAGGAAGAGACGGGCGAGATGGACCCAAGGGAGAAAAGGGAGAACCAGGTAGAGGACAGGCTACTCCACCTTCTTAAACCTTTACCCCAACAGGAGAGTGTCCTATCTGAGGGATGTAGCATAGAGACAGGAAGAGGCTCACCTTTCATTATGGTGGGTGCCTGTGGTATGGCATTCTCTCTAAAGATGCTTCTCTGGCTCTCCAGGGTCCCTCATTGCCACCCTGGAATTGGCAATGTATGGTTGTCCTTAGAAAAGGGGTGTCTTGTCTGCTCAGGGAGCTGCCTTAGGACAGGCCATCCCTGGGATGCAGGAGGATCTTTCTTCCTTGGTCACCACAAGTTGAGTAGCAGTTTCTTGGGGTTGATCAACTATTGAGCTTTTGGAGAAAGAGTATGAGCGACAGCTACCTCATCATATTTCCTTCATCTTCCAACAGGGCAAGGGCTCAGAGGCTCACAGGGCCCTCCAGGGAAAATGGGGCCTCCAGGAAATATCGGGAATCCTGGGCTTCCAGGACCCAGGGGCCACAAAGGAGATTGTGGAGATAGCTCGGGTAAGGAGCTCACCCCAGCATGTAGTAGGGGCTGAGGGGGCACAGGCCCTGGGAACTCCAGGCCAGGTGGGAGGTGCCCTGTCTCCTGCTGCCCCGCTGGGAGCTGCTCAGCTCTGCTTCCTGACCCAGCACTCTTGTTCCTCTCAGTTCCTTGGGGCCTGAGGGGATTCCCACTGGTGCCTGGGTACAGACCTCCAAGCTCTGCCAGCTGTTCCCTCAGCAGGCCACTGTAGGACCTGTGCCCTGGCCTTTCTTCAGCTGCAGCAGTCCAGTGCGTGGTTCCAGGCTGCAAGGATGGAGATGGGTCTTCTCTGCTCTTACTTTATGTCTGTTGTCATAAGAGTGGCGTGAAAAATGTTGGCCTCATAGGGTGCCTGGATAATGGGGGACATCATAACAACTTAGTTCAGAGTAAAATAAATTCAGTAACAACAAAACCAAAATGATGACCTCTTACTAATATTTATCCACTGGCCTATCAAAATAACAAATGTATTTAAGAGTCTGCCTACAATAAGAAATTAAACTAGGATTAGGAAAATTTTTCAAAAAGGAGAATAATTTGTTGGGCCTTTCTTATGAATAATTATAATATTTAAGAAATATATGAAGAAAGGGACCCAGAGCTATAGTTTATGGTATTACTATTACTACTACTACTATTATTATTTCCAGAGTTATAGTTTACAATAGTTACTTGGGAAGTATATACTTGGGAAGGCAGGAATACATTTTATTTTCCTTTTGCTTCTTTTTATTTTTTTATTTTTCTGGAATACTTTTTACTATGCTAATATATATATGTATTTTCAAAATACTCTGCTCTCCAATTTAAGGTCTTCTTTTCAATAAACATCCTCTGCCTATTGCTTTATAGTTGCCGAGGCTAAGCTGGCTAGCTTGGAGGGACAGATAAGGAACCTGCAATCAGAACTGGATCACATTAAAAAATGTAAGCTTTTCTTCTGTTGCCAATGTGTTCTGGATTCTTTTATCTCCAGAGAACTCTAGGTTTTGGGGGAAGGGTGGAAAAGAACTTACATGTATGACCACTTATTATATACCAGGGCTAGGTTGGTTGTCATTTTCTTAATAATATGATTTCATTCAATCCTCTTGCCATCCCTATGTGTGGGTATTACACCCATTTTATTGACAGGTGAGAAAAAACTAGGTCCAAGAAGTGTGGATAATTAATTCACCAGCATGCAGTTAGGAAGATAGAGGAGGATGGAGTGGAGGTCTGCTGACTCTGGGATCTTTGCTCCTTCCTCAGCACCCATGGGTCTCAAATGGGTATCCATGCCTCTTTCTCACCCTGGTGCCTACACCTGGCAGTGGGGCTCTAGCATGTTTTCCTAGGTTCACCAGTAAGGGGACAATTTTTCCAGATATTTGTCCTAAGGATGGGATATCGTAGAAGATCCCTGGCTTGCTGCCAGGGACTTGACTTCACCTTCTTACCAGGATCTCACCAGAGGTGGTGAAAAATGGGGCTCAACCCCAGATTCCCAGAGAAGGGCTTTTTCATCTGCTGTCCAGGGCTGGGCTCTAAGCCAAATCAACTCCACCTACCCTTTATGATTTCAGTGCAAACCTTCTCCTTGGGCAAGAAGTCTGGGAAGAAGCTGTATGTGACCAATGGTGAAAAGATGCCTTTTTCCAGCGTGAAGGCTCTGTGCACGGCACTTGGGGCGACTGTGGCCACACCCAAGAATGCAGAGGAGAACAAAGCCATCCAGGACATGGCCCCAGACACAGCCTTCCTGGGCATCACAGATGAGGTGACTGAAGGGCAGTTTATGTATATAACCGGAGGAAGGCTAGGCTACAGCAACTGGAAGAAGAATGAACCCAATAACCACGGCTCAGGGGAGGACTGTGTGCTCCTCTTACGAGACGGGCTCTGGAATGACATCTCCTGTTCTTCTTCCTTCTTGGCCATCTGTGAATTTCCAGCCTGAAGAGGCAAGTTCCTCTGCTCCCTCAGTGACTCCCTGCTGAGCTCTCTGCTGCTTTGGAAGAGAATTCAGTGCTTATTTTCCCACGACCAGTGTTGACTCATTCCTTCTTGGGGATGGGAGGAAAGTGAAGGGGTGTATTGGATTGCGGGAGGAGGAAGTGAAAAGAGGCTGACCAGTGGGGCATGAGGGTTTCTGGTCCAGTCCATGGCAAAGGACACCATCTGTGTTGCCTGAGAGCACAGCATTGGGTCAGAGTCAATTACAGAAAAAGCAAACAAACTCTCTCCGTTTTTAGTGAAGACACTGCAGCCCAGCTGATGGATCAGTGGAGGACCACATCTGTGTCCAAGAAAGCTTTAGTCTCAGCCTCCAAGAGATCCAATTCCCATTTTTCCAAGTCGCCACTACTTGGTGTCAGAGTCTCCTTCCTTCCAATGGCTAGCCCAACCCTGTCTACAACATAACTGTTGTTTTTAGTTATTCATGAGCTACCCCTGAAAATCTTTCATTGCCAAACTATAACATCTGGCATGAGTAACAATGAATAGTCCTAGGAATCCCTTCACCTGCTCAAGTGGCTGTGGTCTCCCTATAGCCACTGGGGAGATCCTGAGGACAAAGGGCAGCATTTCCTTCTTGCATACTTTTAGGAGACTGATTTGATATTGCAGCATATGCCAGCATCATAGAAGCAAATGGTCAGGCAGGCTGTATCATTCCCTACAGCATCGTTGGTCTTGGTCCCTCCATATTCAGCATCCCCTTCCTTCTGTGGCATCCTCATCCCATTACAGATCAATAGGTCTATTATCAGTAAAGACAAGAGGGAAACTTCATAAAGGTGAGTTTCATACCCTGGAGGGGAAGTTATGCAGCACAGTCCACTCAGCAAATAAAACCTCCCCTCTGAGCAGAGTTCTGACACCATCTTAGTGACAGTCCAGCTCAAGACCATGGATGTTCTTGAGCAATCTCAGAGTAGTGGAGCTGAGATTATATAGAGCCCAGGTAACAAACTGGGGGAAGAGAGTGAATTCCGGCTTCAACTGTATGTCAATCACAAAATGAGATTGAAAATATTTCGTGAATGGGCTAAGGACCACTTTCAGTTCAGTTCAGTTCATTTCAGTCACTCGGTCATGTCCGACTCTTTGTGACCCCATAAATCACAGCACGCCAGGCCTCCCTGTCCATCACCAGCTCCCAGAGTCTACCCAAACCCATGTCCATCGAGTTGGTGATGCCATCCAGCCATCTCATCCTCTATCCTCTGCTTCTCCTTCTGCCCCCAATCCTTCCCAGCATTAGGGTCTTTTCCAATGTGTCAATGCATGAGGTGGCCAAAGTATTGGAGTTTCAGCTTCAGCATCAGTCCTTTCAAAGAACACCCAGGACTGATCTCCTTTAGGATGGACTGGTTGGATCTTCTTGCAGTCCAAGGGATTCTCAAGAGTCTTCTCTAACACCATAGTTCAAAAGCATCAATTCTTCAGTGCTCAGTTTTCTTCACCATCCAACTCTCACATTCATACATGACTATTGGAAAAACCATAACCTTGACTAGACGGATCTTTGTTGGCAAAGTAATGTTTCTGCTTTTTAATATGCTATCCAGGTTGGTCATAACTTTCCTTCCAAGGAGTAAGCGTCTTTTAATTTCATGGCTGCAATCACCATCTGCAGTGATTTTGGAGCCCCCAAAAATAAAGTCTGACACTGTTTCCACTGTTTCCCCATCTATTTGCCATGAAATGATGGGACCAGATGCCATGATTTTAGTTTTCTGAATGTTGAACTTTAAGCCAACTTTTTCACTCTCCTCCTTCACTTTTATCAAGAGGCTTTTTAGTTCCTCTTCACTTTCTGCCATAAGGGTGGTGTCATCTGCATATCTGAGTTTATTGATATTTCTCCCAGCAATCTTGATTCCAGTTTATGCTTATTCCAGCCCAGCGTTTCTCATGATGTTCTCTGCATATACGTTAAATAAGCAGGGTGACAATATATAGCCTTGATGTACTCCTTCTCCTATTTGGAACCAGACTGTTGTTCCGTGTCTGGTTTTGACTGTTGCTTCCTGACATGCATACAGGTTTCTCAAGAGACAGGTCAGGTGGTCTGTATTCCCATCTCTTTATGAATTTTCCACAGTTTATTGTGACACACAGTCAAAGACTTGTTCATAGTCAATAAAGCAGAAATAGATGTTTTTCTGGAACTTTCTTGCTTTTTCTATGATCCAGCGGATGTTGGCAATTTGATCTCTGGTTCCTCTGCGTTTTCTAAAGCCAGCTTGAACATCTGGAAGTTTGCAGTTCACGTATTGCTGAATTGTTGTATCCCTGGCAGCATTCTTCCCTCAGTCTAGGATTGGGGTAACCACCTCCCTAAATTCACTTTCCAGTTCTTATCAGCAAGCAGTGGGGTCCATGCCGAGCAGCTCAAGAAAACATGGAGTTAATCGAAAAATGGATTCTCATGAGTGTTCACAGATAGAAACTGCAGTGAAGCCAGGCTTCCCAAGACCTGGAACAAGAGGGAAATTATGGATTCAAGAAGACTTTCCAGATAATCTCTCTCACTCTCTCAAGGGCTGCAAGCAGGCTGTTTTCCTTTTCTAAAGGGCATATGATGACTGAGATCTCTTGCACAGGGGACCTAATAAAGTCAGCTGCTCCAAGGACAGACCTCAGGGGCCACAGGCAGCACATTTCCATTGGGACTTCAGGACTCTGAGGAACCTCTTGAGTCTTGTTGTTTGTTCTGATGGAAGAGGCATCTTCACCATGACATGCTGGCTCCCTGGACCTCAGTTTCCCTATCTGCAAATTGGTCTGTAATGGCTTCTCCTTTTTAAAGCTGGATGAATCCATGATCACACATAGTTTCAGACCTACAGGGCCCATCTCAGGGGCAATGCTGCAGGATCCAAGGATTGTCTTCCATTTTTTTTACCTGATAATTTTTTCCAAACTCATTGTGCCCTGAACAACTTATCACCAATTCTTAGGTTCACAGAAAGTCATTCTGAGTGAGTTAGAATAGCAAAATACTCCCTGCTCTTAAGATGGGGACTCTGAGCTTAAATTGTGTCTGTAAGTCAATTCTCTCCTGTTAAACTATAGATACAGGTTTCATTCCTGGACCAGAATGAATATAACTACCAAAACTTGCAACATTCAAGCCCAGGCTCCAGCCTGGATCCTGGATCCTAGCACAGTAAGACCTTGCAAAAACTGCAGGGCAGTCTTTGCTTGGAATCTTCCAGCTCTGCTGTTCTCACTTTTAGCCATGTCCAAACCAGAGGATAGGGGTCTGGGGTACCAGCTGAAGGCCTAGCATTCACTCTCCTCAAATCCCCTTCCTGCTCAGGACCAGCCTGCCTCCCTTCTCTGCGGCTGGCACCAGGGGTCACAGTTTGCTCATTGCTGTCAAGGTTGTTTGCTCATTATTATGTAACTGAACTGTGCTTTAGAACCACCCAGGAATCAAAGATTTTTTTTCTTGTTAACCAGGAAGGGATTGTTTATTATCATGGCGCGTAGGCTGGAGATGTCAGGAAGCAGACTTTGAAAATCAATGTTGTCATTGTAACCCTCAGTGCCTGGTGGGGTGCTGGGAGGAGAGGAGGAGCTCAGTGCAGGGCTCCACCTGGAAGGGGAGCCCTGGTGGGGCAACCTGGTGAAGAGGAGACAACTATAGACCCAGACCCGTGGTTTGTCCAGGCAAATGCAAGTGTCATGCTCTAAAGAAGTAACATGCAAATAATCATTCGTTAGCCTAACAAATGCCTCAGGCTGAGCCAGCTGCCGCTGACCCCAAATCCAGCCTGCCCTGTCCTGGCAACCACAGTGCTTAGAGCAGCGACCTGCAGCATTGCCTGGAATGCTTGACAAAGTCACAGGCTGTCACCTCTGCTCTGCACCCAGTGAACCAAAGTCGTGGAAATTTGTTACCTTCATGAGACCTTGATGTGATCAAGTGTGTTTGGTCAGTTCGGGAAACAACTGTCCCACGAAACAGCATCACCATCGCTGCCTTCTGCCTCCCCCTCCCTTTTGAAGGAGGCCTCGAGCCAGGAAGCCAGACTTCCCCTTTCCTTGTAGACCCTTCATGAAGTGAAGAGAGTCCTGCTTCACTCTGCATTGATAGACCCCCAAATCATCTCCTTCAACTGATTGATACCCCACTGATAAAAAGCAGCTGCTGACCAAAATCCTTCCCTGTGCGTTTCCAGGATCTTCCTGGACATCAGGGAGGGGTCTAGGCCTGGAACGGCCCTGGGGAGTGTCAGGGATGGTGAGGCCCTGGCCAAGTGACACTCTGCCTGGGAAACAGTGTGTACTTGGATCGGGGGGTGTTCATATGTGTGTGTGTGTGTGTGTTTGTATATGAAAACCAATAGACTCAGTGCTTGAAGTTCCGGGCATCCTGTTGTTAAGGGGCTTAGCCTTTGCCCTGCCCTCAGCCTGTGTCCAAGCTGCTCTCCCCACTTCCCTCACTGAGGGCCACTGGCTTTGGGTGGTTCCAGAGGCTCTGGGTAAGGTGTGTAGGTGCTTGGTTATGGACTAAAGGGTCCGGAAGTGGCTGCAAGTTGTGTGCTGGGAGCCCCAAGGGCTCAACAGAGATTATCTGGGTGCTAATAAGATCCTCCACCCGTGCCTGGTCTTGCATTGTAATCACCACTATCGATTGCTCAGTGCTCAGTCATGTCCAACTCCTTGCAGCCCCATGGACTGTAGCCCACCAGGCTCCTCTGTTCATGGAATTCCCCAGGCAAGAATACTGGAGTGGGTAGCCACTCCCTTCTCCAGGGAATCTTGTCATCCCCCACCCCAAACTCTTTTATCTGACCACCGAAGCAAGGTTGGCCCAACCCCAGTCATCATTGCAATGCCCTATTTATTTTATTTTTAGCAATTATAATTACTTGAAATCATCTTGACCACTAACATATCAGTGTGGCAAAATCAATGCCTGGATACAAACCTGGCTCTACC